AACAACAACAACAACATAGGGTCAATATGGGCCATACCTGACTCAAAGGCACCCAAGAACAATCACAGTCCTACCAGCTATGCGTGGGTTGTTGTTGATATGAATGGTAATGTAGTCAAGTTCTCACTAATAGAAAGACAGCCTTCCCAGTTCTGAAAGTGTAGAGTTACCGGAATGAGCGTAAACAGAAACTTCAACACACACTCTCGCCTTGGGCTTTGTGCAGAATTCAAGACAACACTGCCTCTTGTAATCTCTTGTTTACATGGTGGAGGGTCAGAACAGACTCTACAAGGACAAGCTTTGCTTTGTGCAATAAGTGCCAGTGTTTTCTTGAGAGAAAAAAAAGCCATAAAACTAGGAAAAGAAGTTCCCAAGAAGCTTTAAGCCCTAATCCCTCTAAAGATAAGGGATAGCTCTCTGTCTTCATTGGTAAGTGGTAAAAGATACGGTAAATGGTAAGAGTTTGTGGATTTCAAGTACAACTATAATTGATGATGTAATGTTCTGCATAGTCTTTGAAAGGGAGAAAGTCAGGCAGATCCAGTTCACTCCTGAAGCTTTTATCTTAGCTTGAAAACCCGGCAAAATAGGATATCAGTAGTGCCTCTGTTATTGCCATTACTCTATGACCCTGTCTTCTAACATATCCTCTAAGTTTACATTCCAGACTACATGAGTTCCAATAGAAAATTACGTTAACGCAAGACGGTTAGTTGCCCTTAGCCAATCCTGGCACTACCAACCCCTTCAACCTTGTTCACACAAGTTGGGAATCTTTTAGAGATTCCCAAAAAGCAGAGGTTGCTTAGGAGGTGGATCCTAGGGTTAGGTCTACATTCTGTATCAGTAGAAAGTAGCCAGAATGAATGACACCCAATTCCAAAAAGATTTTTAGGATCTATGTCATGGAGGGGGGTTGGAGTATGTTAGGGTCAGAGAAAACAAAAGGAACATGGCGACTAGGACAGCAAAGGCTTACTACATGTTTTTCTCACTGTTTAGAAGATCTGTTGTCTATTTCTAAGATATTATTATCCTTAGTAAGCTTTCCTTTTCTCTAAATAAACTTACTTTCTTCATTTATCTGGTGTTCATGTGTATGTGGCAACATTCTCCTGAGGGAACTTGCTAGTCTTCTCCAAGGTGTTTGACCCTGGGCATCTTCTACACTCGTGCCAGAACAAAAAATACTTTCCACTCACCCTTCCCTTCAATACTATACCCAGGCAATACTACAGTGATCATAACAGAAAAAAAAAAGAAAAATTCCTCTTCTTATAGAGATTACTTTCTAGTTGGTTGAAATAAACTCCAACAGGCAAAAAGGCAATTAAAGATAATTTGAAAACAATTGTCCTTTTAGCCTAGGGGTACAGTTTTGAAGAGAGCCTTTTCTTCAGGTTTAAATCCTTTAACTATTGTAGTTTGCCATTACCCTGCAACCTTGGTCATTTCCCCACCCCCCTTAATTAACACAATAATAGAACATTTAAAAAGAAAGAGAATGGTGCAGCAGTGAAGTAATGAAAACCCAAAATCCCTGTAAATGTTCATTAAAACTAATAAAATTTAATAAAAAAAAAGAAAGAGAACACATAAAGATTGACATACTAGGAATTAGCAAGCTGAGATAGACTGATTTTTGCTACTTTGAATCAGACAGTCATATGATCTCCTATACTGGGAATGAAAAAGTGAAGAAAAATGCTGGTGTATTCATAGCCCAAAAGATCATTTCTAGATCCACCCTGAAGTACAATGTTATGAGTAGCATACAATGTTATGTATCATACACGTACAAGGGAGACCTGTTAATACCACTATCATTAAACATTTGTACCAAAAAGTAAAGCCCATGAAGAGGAAATAGATTTCTACCAACTTTTGCAGTCTGAAATTGATTGAACACGCCACCAAGATTCATCAATAATAATTGGTGGCAGAAATGAAAAAGTTACTGTGGGGCTTAGTGATAGAAATGAGCCTGGAGAGAAAATATGGAATTTTGCACAAACAATGATTTTTTTCATTGGGAATACCTTTTATCAAAAAACACAGATAGTAACTAGATATGGACCTCACCTGATAGACTGCACAGGAATCAGATTTAAGCCTGTTGTCAAGAGGGGGCAGTCTGTGGAGAAGGGCATCATGCTTTGAAGGGTCAATGCAAGAGAGGAGGACCCTGCATGAGAGGGATTGACACAATGACTTTAGCAGTGGGGCCAGGTGTGTGGGGTATATGAGGTTGGTTCAGAATAGGGCAGGGTTCACAGCCTTTGTTCATAGGGTAGCGATGAGTCTTAGAGAACTCAACAACACATAATAACAACAACATAAAGAACCTTAAAGTATTTTAGGTTGGTTAAGACTATGAGAAAGTAGATTCAATTAATGCAGGCATTACGAGACACAAAAACGTAAACTCAATGAGTAGCCCAGGTGTTCTGATTTAACAATCTTTAAGTCTGCTAAGAGATTTCAGGTGCCATGGGAACGACTCCTGTGTGACCTTTGAGAGACCAGCCATCTTGAAAGGTCATGCTCTGTGATGACCACGTGGCTCACTTAGAAGCCGTCTCAAGGCACAAGCACGTGTTGCTGAATCAGGCGTCTTATGGCCAGCTTGATCGTTTGCACATGCTCCTCACAAGACCCTGGTGGGAATCACAACTGTGCATGTGCTCAATTACCCTAACTCCTTATAATCCCAGATGACCTCTTCTACTTTAACGAACAAACATGATTTGATCCTTTTGCTGTGTTAACTCCAAACCTCATCTTCTCATAGTGAAACACGATATCCTTTGCCCACTTCCAGAGTCTATGAGAGAATGTTCTCTTCCCTTATTGGCCTAGTGGCATCTTGGCCCTTCATGTTTTCCTTTGCAAAATATTTCTTCTAATTTTTGCTTGCATTGTAAAAACATGTCTCTTGTTTTTTACTATGCTTACTTAACAGGAGGAAGAACGCAAATTAAGAAATAAATGAGCTGGATAAATTTTCTTAGTAACCATATTTAGGGATAGTTTAGCACAAAACAAATAGATGAAGAGCAAATAAATAATCATTAATAGTATATACACTGGGTGATGCAAATGGTAAACCACTCAACTAGTCAAAAGGTTGGCAGTTCAAACCCACCTAGAGGATACTTGGAAAGCAGGGCAGGTCGTCTGCTTCTGAAAGATGCTAGCCTAAAATACTCTATGGAGCAGTCCCACTGTACATGTGTGATATCCAGGAGTCAAAATTGACTTGCAGAAACTAACAGCCCAATGGAAATGTAGCCATTGCTGAGGGCAGCTATGACAGAATACCACAAAATGCATGTCTTTTGAGAACAGAAATGTGTTCTCTTATAGTTCTAAAGGCCAAGAATATGAACTGAGGGTGCCAGCAAGTCCATATTCTCTGCTAAGACCACAAATGGAAGAGCCTTATCTCTCTCAGAAATTAACAGTCTCAGGAGTTCCATGACTTGCAGAAGAACGCACACTTGGATGTGTTTTCTGTTTCTCTTCTTTTTAAGGACACCAAGCCCTGATGACGTACAAGATTAGGTGTTGGGTTGCCCATTAAAAAGCCAGTCATTTAAATCCGCCAGCTGCTCCTCAACAGAAAAAGGAGGTATTTTGCTTCCATGAAGATTTAGATTCTTGAAAACCCTAAGCATTACAGGGTAATAATGTAGGAGATGCCCACGGTTGAATGCCTAGGAGAAGGCTAGCGTGTTCTCTCCAAATCAGGTAGCCATAGACAGACACTCACAGAAGTGATTACTATTAGATTTATTAGTGACAAAAGAGAGAAATAGATAGGCAAGCACAGTACACTGTCCCCTCTCTCGAGTGAGAAGGAACCGAGTCACTCTTCCATTTAGTAGTTCATTCTGTTTGGCAGTGAGGAGAAACTTCTACTTTTCTAATAAGTGGTTGCCGACGTTCTTCAAGGTTTTAAGGGGGCTACACTTCTCTAAGGTCTCTGTGTCTCTGGCCTCAGGCACTGTGGAGTGGACGAAGGCGAGATCTCCACAGCTGTGACAGTTGTTGCTGATCTTAGTTCTGTTTCTCTGCTTCTTCCTTGGACCCTCATCTCCATGTTCTCTCTGACCCTAACACTAAGAACAAATTTTAATTAGTCCTATAGGTCTGTTAATCGTCAGAATTGACTCAATGGCAATGGGTTTGGTTATTCATAATGGATTAGACCCACTTTGCTCCGGTATGGACTCGTGTTAATTGAGAATGTCTTTACTCTCTCAGTAAATGTGTCTCTCAGGCTATGTCAGCCAGGAGTTGTTGACTCTGTGAGCTCTGCCACTCATGTTCGGGTGGTCTTGAGCAAAATGCTGGTGTTTTTGTTCCTCCATCTCTTCTTCTGTAAAATGGGCATGCTAAGAGTGCCAACATCAAGGAAGTTGTTGCCAGATTAAGTGTATGACCATGTACAGAAACACCTCACATAGCGTTGGCACATAAAAACTCATTACATCTTGGGTACTATGAGAACTCTTTATTCTTTTATCTTTGTATTCTCTGTGCTTCTGGTGTTGAACAAACATTTGATCAGATAAGTGAAACAGAAAATGCCGTTTGTTTATCTAAGCCCTACATCCCTGAGAGTATCTGCTCCTGTTGGAACACACCAAGCTTGAGGAGAAGCAGCCCAGACCCTGGCAGGCAGCGTGGCCAGCTCGGTGAGTTACCAGATGAGTCTGAAGAACAGGGCTTGGGCACCGAGAGTGACGCTTCAGGAAAGTCGAGGGAAAGGATCTTACTACAATTTCATCAGCAACTTGAAGGTCCACCATCAATATTCTGCATCAAAGGGATAATCTCTCAAACCGGCCCCCCTGCAGAGAGAATGAGAAGGAACCACTGTGAGAAGGACCACATTCCATGAACAACAACAGCACTGTGAAGGCATTCATCTCGGGATCCTCCGGGGCCCTTCGTGTTCTTTCAACATCCTCCCAAGATCCTGAGAGAACACAAGAGCCACACTTCCACCTCCCTCAAACTGAACCCAGGGTGTGCTAGGAAGGTGGGTAGGCAAGCAGTCACAAAGACACAAATGTAACTCCTAGGTTGTTGGTTCAAAATCACTTAGAAGCACCTTGGAAGAAATGCTGGCTGATCTACTATCTTTTTATGCAAATACCATTTGCCTCCTACTTTGATGAACTACTCACTACTTGAAGAAGATAACCTTCAAATTCCAGCTATTTTTAATCCTCTTTTGAGGTTTAAAAAAATTAATATGGCACATTTTCAAAAATACCTTGGGAGCTGGAGAGTGAGGGAGTGGCTGGCAAACAAATGTAAAAGGCACGTGTTATTTGCATAAACATTTGGTATGTCTGGTATTTCTGAAAGGTCATAAACCATTGAAAACCCTATAGTCCACAGTTCTGCTCTAACTATGGTACAGTGGATTTCCTCTTCAAGATGACGGACCAATGGGTAGGTGGGGCCACGCTGATGATGTGAATGAAACAAATGTCAATTATTGAGTGAGAACATGCAAACAAGGTGTGAAATCTACTACTGTAGGACTGGTCAGCTATGCCATTCCATCAGACTTAAAGTTAGTAGGTATGGAATTGTTGTTGTTCAGTGCCATTGAGTCATAGATGACTCATAGTGACCCTATGAACTAATGAACTGAACGCTGTTGTATAACTATTATTGTTTCTCTAAGTTCAGAGAGTTTACAGAGGCAAGCTATTTCGGAAGTGGATGCCACTCCTGCTTCTAAGCTGTTTTAATCTGGGAGCTCCACCACTGTCCACCGAGATATCATGATTAGCATTACAACAACCACAAGGTACTTCTGTACATCAAAATGGAAAGACCAGTGCTATACTTCTTAGAAGAAAGTTTGAATGAAAACATTAGGCCCACAGGCCCAACGCCCTTTTTAAATACCAGGCTAAATCCAATCAGTTCATACCCAATTGTGAATGAAACAAGAACAACAACAACAAAAAAAAAAACACCCCAAACTAACAGTCTACATCCAAGCCTCAACCAAAACAAGAAAAACACACCTTTGTTGAATCAAACTTTTCCACACATCTTCCCAAACTGGATCTCAGCCAGTATGGAATTAGAAAATGAAACTCTTGCTACCAGCAAGAAATCCAGTGCAAGTCCCAGACTTAGGTACAACTCAGATCAAGAACGTGATGAGAGACAAAACTCAATGAGATTTTTTAAACCACGGAGCCAGAGCCAAGGACTCTTTTTCCCAGCCTTTTGCCCAGGCTTGCGGGAGGACATGGGTGGAGTGGAGTGTGCCATCATTAGCGTGACTAAGAGAGCTCTGGCCTGAAGCTACACTGCTCAAAGTCAAAGAGCCTGGGAACATGCCTGAGAAACTTTCCTGACTGAAGAACTGTACCATGTTTCCAATTTGTATTGTAACCTGTTAACTTCCCAAATAAACCCTATAGTCATTATTGCCTGTGAGTTCTGCATAGCTATTGTAACAGATTTGCAGACTTAGGAGCAGAGCATTGAGAATCGTGAAAGGGACAGACAGCCCATGTAAAATTGAAAGAAGTAGGTTCAGGGACCGTAGGAACATGTCTGACCTCATAGGAATTCGTTTTGCTTTGCAAATGTTGTGGATGAAGACTGTTTTGCTTTAGTTGCTGTTGTTGGGTGCTGTCAAGTTGAGCATAACTCATAGTGATCCTATGAACAACAGATCTGAACCTTGTCCTATCCTGTGCCAACCTCACAATTGCCAAAACACGGGAGCCCATGGCCACAGTCACAGTGTCAATCAACGTGGTTGAGGGTCTTCCTGTTCATCACCATCCCTCCACCTTTCCAAGCATGATGTCCTTCTAAACATGACCAAAGTAAGTGAGATGAAGCCTCACCATCCTTGCTTTCAAGGAGCAAAGTGGCTTCACTTTCTCCCTCTTCTCCTATAAGTTTCATCAGTATTGCCAAATTGAATTCAATAATGTATAAAAAAGAATTTTACTACATAACCAAGTCAGATTTATCCTAGGTATACTTGGTCATTTCAGTATTCACAAATTAATTCACGTCATTCTCTGGCTTCACCTGTTTTAGTTAGAGGAAGTCAAACACAGCCACCTTCATACCTGGACAGCGGTTTTACAGAGACTCAAATGGTGTCGCTATGAATCAGAATAAATGTCATGGCAGCTGGTTAAATTGCTAGTAGCCTCTGGACTAAGTGCCTTCCAATTATCACCTTGGTTAATTTGAGAAGTGCAAAAAGGAGAAGCAAATAGCATAGGTCTTTCCTCATAATGATTCTCACACTGGTACCACAAACTTAATTTAAAAACTAGCTGAAATTAGTATTCGAAGACCAAAATACTACCAGCAGCTTCAAGCCTTCTTACTAACCTTATGCTATTTTAGGGAAAACTCTGATATTCTTGCTAGTTTGAGTGACCCAACTGATACTTACTCCTTCAACATGCAGAATCTCCAGTTTCTGTTGAAGCCAAGTATGGTGGCCATCTCTTCATCATTCAATTGGAAGTCAAAGACCTGCAAAAGAAAGAATTCAAGCCAATTGAGGGTTTCATTGCAGCACAGGAGGAGTCTATGTCTACTGCACATGTATTTTCATTATCATAGGTCTTAGAAATAGTACCACATTGAATTCAATAATGCATAGAAAGAATTATACTATATGACCAAGCCAAATTTATCCTAGGTTTATTTGGTTGGTTCAGTATTCACAAATTAATAAGGGTAATTCATCCTATCAATAGTCTAACACTGAAAATCATATGGCCACTATTAGTAGATGCAGAACAGCTTATGATGTTAGGTTCTGTAGGAAGACCGTAGTCATCACGGGCTTGAGGCCTCTCACTACAGCTGTGCCTTTGCATCTCTGAGATGAGGCTCAGCTAGGCTTATCCTGCTAAGTGTGACAGGTGACTCCAGCACATGTCTGGCCCACAAATCATCAACCGCAGCTCCTACTGAGGTCATCCTCTGGCCTGGAAGAGGTAGGGTGGTGGGGAGGGGTTGGGGTCCATCAATAAGCTGAGAACAGTGGTAAGGGAGAGGCTATCATGAAAATTTCTGTCCTCTCTTCCTCTAAGGAAAGCCAGGGCTCTCACCTGGAAGTTCTCAGCAATACGCTTCGGGGTCACAGACTTGGGGATCACAACCACATTCCTCTGAACATGGAACCGGATCAGAACCTGTGCACAAAGAATATGGTACTGCTCACCATCAGGATGTTCTTCCCACTAAGGACAAGAAGCCACTCGGAGATCACTGCTTCATCAGAATGGCCACTGTGGATCAGCTTGCCCCTGTGGACACTGGTAATCTCTGCACAAGATTCCTGGAAGAGTCTCAACAGACTGAAGTGGTATGTTTTCTCATTTCCTCATTAGGAACTAGGACAGTGATTGGGCCAGTGTTGGGTCTCAAGGTGGCACATCGCGGAGCTGGATCTCAATCCAGATCTCTGCTTCCAATGCCACAATCATCATGTAGAAATCAGGGTTACAGGAAGCTGCTGGACAAAGACCATGTCCGGGGATAACAGTGTGTCTCCTGAAGTCTGCACAGGATATTCAGGAAGGACCTGATCAGATGCCATCTGCTCTCGCTATCCTCATTAGGGAATGATGGGAAGACCACAAAAGGAAGGGGACAGATGATTCTGGATTGCTGGGGCAATGAAGTCATTATATACCTGGGCTGCAGTTTTTTTGTGCTTTGCAGCGATCTCCTTGATCTTGGGGTCCTCCAGCAGTGAAGGGTCCTCTGGCTTAGCCCTAGAGAAAGAAACAGAGTAGGGCCATGTGAAAATTACCATGGTTATCCAGTGAGGATGAACATCCTTCCCATGATGATGTTCTTAAAGTGGCTTTGTCCAGTCTTCCACAATAATCACCCTGGTTACTTTGTATAGATAAACATCCCTCCCATTATGATTCCAGGAATAGTATGAACACCTGGGGCCCACAACTCTGAGCTGTTGAACCTAAGTATTTTCAGAGGGGCAGACATGCTATTATTTTTCCTCGTCATGTTTTTTCACCCTATAATTTCATTTAGATGCACCAAACATTGCCTCACACTTATTCTGTTACCCATTGTATTTTAGATTAATAACAGCATTCACACTTATTGGTTAAAGAGTATCAAGAATAAAACTCTGGGAGGCCCTCACCAAGGTCTGTCTGGAGAGCCCAAGGGGCTGTAGGCAGTGATTGCGATGCCCTTGGACTGGCAGTACTGGATCAGCTTCTCCTGAGTAAGGTATGGGTGACACTCAATCTGCAAAAGCAAACAATATCCATCACCAGGAAGTTAGCTTGTGTTGGAGCAGCCCAGAAAAAGTTCTACACAGAAGAAATGATAGCCACTTATAGATGTATACAGACTAATGCACCCCAAAGCAGATGGCTATACATTCTTCTTCAGTGTGCATGGAACGTTTTCCGGAATAGATAATATTTTAGATAACAAAGCAAGTCTCAATAAATTATTAAAACACAGAAATAATACAAACCATTTTCTCAGACCACAGTGCTACAAAACCAGAAATCTACAGGAGGACAAAGGAAAAAAAAACCATACACCTACAAGCTGAACAATGTCCTGTTTGAACATGGGTAGGTAATAGAAAGAGGGCGAAAGAAATTAAAAAGTTCCTTGAAACAAATAAGAACGCAAGTACAACTTGCCCAAATCTCTGGAACGGCAAAAGCAGAATTTAGAGGTCAATTGACAGCAATAAGCAAACACATCAAAAAGGAAGAAAAATCATAATAAATTCTTTAACTCAACATCTCCAACAAGTAGAAAAAGAATAACATTTAAAAAAAAACCCACAAAAAACAAACTCTAAAAGAAAGGAAATTTAAAAAATTAGGACAGAAATAAATACAGTAGAAAACAGAAAAGCAATTTCAACTACCAACGAGACCAGGAGTTGATTGTATGAAAAGGTCAATTGATGAACCACCAGCAAAGCTATCAAAGGAAAAGAAAGAAAAGACACAGATAATCCAAATAAGAGATGAAAAGGAGCAATGCCACAACAGAAACAACTGAAATAAAAACTTAACAATAGAATACTATGGAAAACAACTATCCTCAAACAAATAAAAAACAAGAGGAAATGGACAAATACTTAGAAACTCATGACCCACCCAAATTGACTTAGAATAAAGTAGAACATCTGGAAAGACTCATTACAAAAGAAGACATTTTTGAAAAGGAAAAAATAATGTCTAAATAAAAAAAAAGACCTGGACCAGATGTTTTACTAGTGAATTTTTTTCAAACATTCATAGAAGAGCTGTTACCACTCTACATTATTTCAGAAAATAGAAAAAGATGGAATACTTCCAGACTCATTCTATGAAGCAAACATGTCCTTGATACCAAAGTCAAGTAAAGACATTACCAAAATAGAAAACTATAGGCCAATATCTCTCATGAACATAGAGAAAAAATCCTCAGTAAAATCCTGGCCAATAGAATCCAACAGTATATCAAAAATAATAATCCATCATGTTCAAGTAGGGTTCATAACAGGTATGCAAGGATGGTTCAACATAAGAAAAACAATGAATATAATTTATCACATTAACAAAACAAAGAACAAGAACCACATGGTCCTATAAACTGATAGAGAAAAGGCCTTCAAAAAAATCCAACAGACCTTCCTGATAAAAATCCTCAACAGAATAGGAATAGAGAATTTCCTTAACACACTGAAAAGTATATATGCAAAACCAAGAGCCAATGTTGTTCTCAATGGAGAGAGATAAAAGGTGTTCCATTTGAGAACAGGAACTAGGCAAAGTTGCCCACTATCACCTCTCCTATTCAATATCATATTGGTAGTATTAGCGAGAGCAATAACAGAAGAAAATAAGAGGTATCCAAATTGGCAAAGAGGAGGTAAAACTATCTCTATATGCAGATGATATGGTAGTATACTTAGAAAATCCTAAAGATTCAGCAAGAAAACTATTGGACATAGTTGATCAATTCAGCAAAGTAGCAGGGTACAAAATCAACATACAAAAATAATGTGGATTTCTCTATAGTGACAAAGAGAATATAGATATGGAGCTAAGAAAAGCAGTACCAAGTACAACAGCTAATCACAAGATTAAATACTTGGGTATAAATCTAACTTGAGACACAAAAGATCCATACACAGAAAATCACAAAACATTACCACAAGAACCAAAAAGAGATCTGGAGAAATGGAAAAATATATTATGCTCATGGATAGGAAGAGTCAATATCGTTAAAATAACAATTCTACCAAAGGCAGTCTATAAACTCAATGCAACCCCAAAACAGATACCAACTCCATTCTTCAAAAAAGGTGTTAAAAGGCAATTTCCAATTTTATCTGGAATGGAAAAAGACCTCAAATCAGCAAAATGCTACTGAAAAAGAGAGACAAGGTAGGTAATATCTTACTCCCTGATCTCAAATTCTGCGACACAGCTGTGGTGGTCAAGATAGCATGGTACAGCAGTAAACACATAGATCAATGGAACAGGATTGAGAAACCAGAAATCAGCTCATCCACCTGAAGTCAGCTCATCCACCTATTCCCTTTGACAAGGATATGGAATAAGTTAAGTAGGGAAAGGACAGTCTCTTTAACAAATGGTATTGGCAAAAAATAGAAAACTATCTGCAGAAAACTTAAGACCCACACCTCACACCTTAAACAAAAACCTACTCAAGATGAATCAGGGACCTAGAAGTAAAACCAAAGACTATAAAATTCACCAGAATTTTAAAATAAAATTTAGGAAGAACTCTCAAAGCCATAATCCACAGCATCAACAGTTGTACAAACATAAGGAAAAGCTTACAACCAGGAGAGAATAAAATAGATGAATGGGATCTTCCAAGATTCATATCCCTATGCACATAAAAAAAAAAACCCACCAAAAACCAAAAAACAAAGAACAAATTAAAAAAAAAAGAACAAGAAAAGAAAAATTAAAAAAAAAAAACCCAAAACAAAACACCACACCCCAACCAAAAAACAACCAAATTTCTCCAACAAGATAAGATGGGAAGCCACAGACTGGGAAAAAATATCTGGCAATGACCTACCTGATAAGGGACTTCTATCCAAAATTTATAGAATATTCCAGTACTTCAACAAGAAAAAGGTAAACAGCCCAAACACAAAATGGGCACAGGACATGAATAGACAGTTCACCAAAGAAAACATTCAGATAGCAAACACATGAAGAAATAGTCAAAATCCCAAGCTATCAAAACAACTGTGAGATATCATAGCAACAATAGCAAAGTTCAACAGGGCAGCAAACAACAAATGTTGGTGAGGTTGTGGAGAGCTTGGAATTCTTATTCACTGCTAGTGGGAATGAAAAATGGTACAACCACTATAAAAGGTGGTCTGGCATTTTCTCAAAAAGTTGGAAATAGAAATACCATTTGACCTAGCAGTTCCACTATTGAGAATATGCCCTAAAGAAATCAGAGCCACAACTCAAACAGATGTATGCACACCCATGTTTATTGCTGCATTATTCACAATGTCAAAGAGATGGAAGCAACCCAAGTGCCCATCAATAAATGCATCAATAGAAAAACTATGATACATCCTCCAATGGAATACTATGCAGCACTGAAAAAGATGAATTAGTAAAACATTACCCAACATGGAGATGTGAGGACCTTATGCTAAGTAATATATCACAGTCACAAAAGGACAATTACTGTGTAAAACCACTGTTATAAAATAGGACAGACTTGGAGTGAGGTTTGGGGAGGAAATGGGGAAAGAGTGGATAGATAATGAACGCTCATATGTATGTCAACAATCTGGAAGAAGGGGTAAGATGGGGGGGTTGAGTGAAGGGAAGAGGAAAGGGAAAGAAAAGGTGCAACAATTAATAGAAACAAAAAGAGGACAAGAAAGCCAAACATGGAGCAAGCACTCTCCACTGGTACAGTTAGATGCCTGACTCCTGCGATTCATCCAACACCTCCCCAAAGCACCCTTTTCACCAACTCTGAGAAGAAACTCTACTCCTCAACCTGACCCAAATATTCATTAAGTAGCATTTACCTGGTTAATCGCTGGTTTGTGTTTCAGTCCAGGTTTGTTCAGGATCTTCTCGATCTGGAAGTGATTAAAGTTGGAGACACCAATGGCTTTCACCAGGCCCTCGTCCACCAGCTCTTCCATGGCCTGTCATAGAGGTACAGGGGTGAGACCCACACAGGTCAGAGAAGAAAGGAATTACTGTGGGTTACAGTTGGCAGGGGAGGCTCCCAGGGTGCAGTCTGAGCAGGAGCTTCAAAGAATTACATAAGGAAAAATGAATGAACAATTATGAAAAAGGGTTCGGATTAAAGGCTCTTGGGCAGAGAGAAGCGTAACAGACTCAGGGATGGTATCTCTGGCTCTCAAACTCGGCTGCACTCTGGAGCCCCCTGGAAAGCATGAATATTGCTGATACCTGGGTTCCAGCCTCAGAGTTTATTCTTCCATTTTCCTGACATTGGGATTTTTCAAACTTCTCAGGGTATTCCAATGTGCATCTAAAGCTGAGAATCACTAGGGTGGGTGACAGGTCTTCACATGAGCTTAAGTGAAAGCTGAGAATTGATGGGTTTATAAGAGTCTGGAAACTGGAGGTGAACCATAAGATGACGGGAAGTTGCTGTATATGTAGATCATGTCTACTTGGGTGGATGACTTATCTAGGCTTCTTTCTGAACTGTGTTTCACTCGATCTCACTGCACTGCTTATATTTCAGTCATATCCACTTCTTCTCAAACTCCTTCATCTCGATCATTAACCTCTTCATACCTTCCTTAACTGTATTAAAGTTTTCCTTAGCATTCAGTGTCAAATTCATTCAAGGAAATTGGTGTTTTGGGGGCAGATATCGATGACATGCTTGCCAACTTTAACATCATCTCAAAAGCAATGACACAAATATCTTGTGGCACCAACATTAGAGCATCTCTAAAAGGGCTGGCCACAACATCTCAACAAGGTGGATCCCTAACATATTTAAGGAAGTTTTACCTGAACCATCTAAATGATAGACTCCTAGGTTGTACTGCCCATCCTGCCACAACTGCCACTCTCGAGAATAAAACATTCTTGGAGAGGAGTCTGTATAGGTCAACCAGCACTCCTCCAATTTTTCTCTATCACATGACTGGAAAATGAATACATTCATCTTTATTCATTTTTTTTTTTCTTGCTATGAAGTGTGAGGATTCTGGTTGTGTTTTCCTGGCTATCATTCTGTTGGTAGCAAAGACAGAATGACCACTTTGCCTAAGGTTTCACCTTAATCAATATGTTTTAGTGAGTATTTCAAGCATACATTTGAAACTACAATGCCAATCAACAGGAACTTTCGTGGAGAAGAGTATTTGGTTTTTTGCTGCTAACAAGGTCAGCTGTTTGTACCCACTAGCTGCTCCAAATCGGAACGATGAGCCATCTTCTCTCATAAGTATTTATGGGGTTGTTGTTGATTGCCGTCAAGTTGAGCACGATTCATAGCAACTCTATGAACAAAAGACCTGATGCCCATCTACACCTATCGTTCTCTCTCCAAGTTCATAGAGCTTCCCTAGGCATGTGGTTTAGGACGTGGAAGCCTTGGAAGCTGCATAGAGGGTCACCATGAGTTGGAACTGGCTTGATGGTAACGGCGAGTCAAACAAAGACTTGGGACATCATTAAGACAAAGAAATATGTCAACAGAGTCCTGGACAGGTGGTTTTCAGTGTGTGATTTGAACCTTCTGTGCTGCACTAGCAGGTGGCTCTGGTAGTTAAGCTCTCAGCTGCCAAACAAAAGGTGAGCAGTTTGATCCCATTACTCATTTAGAAGAAGAAAGAGGTGGCAGCCTGTTTTTTAAGATATTTACTGCTTGGGCAACAATGAATGAA